TTTTATGTAAAATATTTTTTTTTTATATTTTAGATTTATGTTTATTTTAAATTTACATTCGAGTTAAATTTATTTTGATCCAAAAAATGGTATTTATTTCAAATCCATTTTTTATATAAAACTTTGTTATTTTGAAATTTTGTAATCCTAAACAAATTCAGCTTTGACTATATATAACTTAACCAAAACGAAGCCGTAATTACTTCTGACTCGACTAAAATACATAGAAACCTTTAAGTTAAGCAAGAAACCAACTTAAACTCGAAATACCTTACAGAAGTAGCCCCAACACGTTCAAACTCAACCGTATATACCTAGAAAATAACAATTTCAGTTTATCTAACAAAATTTCAATTTAAAAATCATTTATCAAAGCGTAAACACCTGGAAAAAAGTAAAACTCATACAATCCAATCCCTTTCTATAAAAAAAGAAGCCCAGCCAATTAAATTAAAAATTGTCAGTTAAAAGGGGGAAAAGGAGTAGCTGCCACAGCATGAGAACAACAATTGCAGCAGTGTTAATAGCCACGCCCCAAATTGAATTGATTGGCCCCCCAATTTCAAAGAGGTCAACAAAATTGCTGCGTAATCCAGATCGATGCGTCCCTGTCCAAATAGAACTCTATGTTAGTTCATGGGGCGCAACGACTTTCAACTTTTCATGTCAAATCTTTTAAGAGTCATCAGCATCATTTAGGCGACTGCTTGATAAATGATGCGCACTAGGTCCAGGCATCAGTTTTGCTGCTCTTTTCTGTTAACGGAAGTCGTCTTCAAACACTGCAAAAGTGCTCATCATCATCAACATCATTATGATACAGAAGATCATTAGCGAGTTGCTAAACAACAGCAAAAGTCGCAGCGCTCATAACAAGGATAGCCAAACTTTTGCTTGCCAAAAAAAAAGTGAATAAAAATTGATGATTTTTTTTTCTGGGAAATTCGTCTTGTGCTGCTGAAGTTAAGTGAAGAGAATCTGCTCTGTCGTAATGGGAGCGCAATGAATTAACCGCATCACTTATCACTAAACGCAGCGGGACTTTTTTACAAAATACTCCAGTTCTTGGGAAAAACGCATTTTGGTTACTAAAGCGTTTGCAGTTTGTTTTGATATTTGTTTTTTGAAAATTTTTTCGAATGGGTATATTGGTTTTGTGTTGACGTGTTGCTTGCGTGTAAGTACGTTAAGAGATTAAAAAAATTATTTTCGAGTTTAGCCTATGTTAGACAGATCTATGCTGAGAATATTGTGTCAATGGAAACACCAATTTGATTAAAGCTAACTCTGAATCAGCTGTGAAGAATGTCAACTGAAGGGCTACAAATCTTTTACATCAAACAGGTAGGTCTGCTATTGAATTTTAGATGCACGAAAAAGGTCAAATTCTAAGGATTATTTAAAGTAGAAGCAAAGATAATTGAAAAGATAAAAATTTTATACAAAGCGGAAATTTTTAATGAAATTGAAAAGAGTAACATTCATACTTCTAATGTTCTGCTAACCATCAGGTTAATGAATGTAGGCATTATTTGAAAAATACTTCATTGATTTCATAGATTAAATATATGAAAATAATTTAACTTAATTTCAATATTACCTTAAGCCATATTCAAGCTCCTCTCGTTGTTCATTCCCTAAAAACAGAGCATTCGACTGCCTTTACCACTCTCATTGCCTTGCACAAAGTATTGTTTATGGCATTGGCAGTGCCTAAATGGAGCACACAATGGGCACAGCTGGAGCGACGATGTTTATGCGAGCATACTTTATACACACATACATATATATATATATATATATTTATGTATATATTTATGTATGTCTCTATATGTATATCGGATGATAAATGATAATATACGCAAATTTGTTTATGAGTGCAGCGTTGTAATTGATGGCTACACTTCTCAGGCAAATGGCCGTGTGAGCTACAATCACAATTGTTACACAAAAATTGAAGTCTCGATTTTGATGCTTGGTTAAAGATTGGCTGCAGCACGGCATCGTTAACTGGTTTCTGGTTTAATGGCACTCTAAAATCAACGCTAATGACTCAATTCGTTTGGGCTTACGCCGCAAAACTAGGCATACTCGACAGAGGCGCACACACAGACATATTTACTTGCCCGCAAGGAGCTAACATAAAACTAAATCCGCAATGGTAAAGGCAAATAAATCAATATTTAAATTTTATTAGCAGCCAGCCGCTGGGCACTGGGGCGTATGCGCGCTATCAGCAAGCCGAACAAATGAATGTTTGCTGCCCTCTGCTGTAAATAATTGTTAATGGGCGCATAAATAAAAACAAACACGCGTTCGAGCTATAACTTGGCTGCTTGTTAAGCAAACATTTGCATTTACCACTGATTTACACACACACACACGGATAAAGCGTGTATATGTGAGTGTATTGTTTGATGTATGTAACAAGCTAACAAAATAATAACAAGCTATATTTTAATAAGCTTACAAAATGCCTGTGGGTCATGTGATTTGCTACAGCCAAGTATCGATATTATCGTAAAAATCAATAATGGATTATAATATAAATAATAGAATAAAAATTGAAGCTAGATTTAAGTAGCATAAAGCATTTATTGAAAATAGACTAGGAAAGCCTTGTACTAATAGGAGATTAATTTTAAAAATAATAAAATAAAATATACGAAATTTATTATAAATAATAAAATATGTCCTCAAATATATATATTCATTATATATAAAACTTAACTAAGCTTAATCTAGCAAGACTCGTAGATAAAGCTGAATATTTTTGACAAGTATTTCCTTAAATAGATTAATTCATTAATTATGTTGTATTAATTTTAGTTAACATAAAAATAAATATATAAATGTATTATACTTTTACATTTGGGTAAATATATTTAATTTATTATTTATTAAACTTAAATTAATAGATTTCTTATTTTTACATTTATTAAAAGTTTAATTTCAAATATCAGCAAAAAATAGATTTGAATTAGAATCAATATATAAATTAAACTAAATTTGATTAAGGAAAGATTAAAAAAAATAACTTAATTCTTAAATACTTATTAAATATATAATATATATATATATATATATATATATATATATATATATATATATATATATATATATATATATATATATATATATAATATATATATATATTAAATATATAAAAGAAACCAATTTTATAACCATCTATCTTTATAAAACTAAGATAAATATATTTATATATTTGAACAATAAAGTCCATTACTTTTTTACTGCATAAAAGTATATTCAACTAGCCAGCTCACAGTAGTTCTGACTTTTACAAGACTTTTCAAGGAGAAGAATTTAAAAAACGATTTTTATTATCTCTAGAAGCTATAAGTTTAAATAATGGCTAATATTTATATAGAATGTCAACCGATATCGAAGGAATTTTTTGAGTAAACTTTAATTAATTGCAAATTAAAAAGACTTAATTTTGTTTATCTTTTTAAAGTTATATTTAAACTTTATCAACATACCTAAGTGAGAGCCAGAAAAACAATGAGCAAAAGTGTTTTTAAGCTGAAGCATTAAAGTTATATTATAGATATCTACAATATAACTTAAGTGCTTCAGCTCATTGTCTGCCTGCGCTCACATAAATATTAAACTACTTCCACCTCTTATTTAGAGATAGATGTTTATTTTTATTGACAAATTACTCTATCAAAAAGCGAGCTGCCTGCCAGCCGAAACAATAAAAAAATAGTTTCTCTTTATTTTCGCATGCTTTTGCTCATAATAATAAGTGTGTGCGAGTGGAGGGAGACATATGTATATATTTATATATATATATATATATATGTATAAGATGGAGGCTGGTGGGTAATGATAAACATTTTGTTGTTGCTTGGCTTTTTACTTGGGCGGGTAATGGCAGTCGTATGTAATGATTATGGGGCCACTTTTCTCATAAAAATTCAGGCGGCAGACTCAATGATGATGACCACGCTTGGAGTTGAGTCAGCTGTTGATGTCAAAACAAGCAACAAATTAGACTGCCAACAGCAACAACAACAACAACAACAGCGACAACAACGCGCACTTGAATTGAATCATTGATAAACACAGAAGCGACGGTTTCTATTGCCTTTGATTATGCTACTCGATGAAAGTTTTTTTTTTTGGGTGCTTTGGGCGCAATCCTGATTATGCAGAAAGTATTTTGCCAACACATCTGGGCCCGTACACACACACACCACATAATAATCATTATATTTTATTATGTATATTAACACGAGAGCGAAACCCACACGAAATCAACTTTACCAAATTTTCCCCGAACACTCGAAAAGCAGAAGCAAAAAACTTGAACGCCTCAATCGTCGTTTGTTTTATCAACCGAAAATGCTTCAATAACAAAACAAAAATGTTTGCCAAGGGGCTCCCAGGAAGACCCCAACATAGCGAGAGAGAGGGAGCTGGCTTATAGATAGTATGAGCTGGGCTCTTGGAAAAGTCGACTTGTTCTCTGCTTTGAACGTCGCTCCTTGATTTGCTAATTCTGTGGGTGTTTTCTCGGGCATTTAAACAAGCCAAAACCAGCGGCGGCTTTACTCATCGTTTGGGTATTCAGGGTATTATGGCTTTGTGATAATGTGTGTAACAGACGGAAGCAGGATATGGCAGATACCAGCTCAGTCTTTATAGCCATATAGCTGTGAATCATCATAAGATAAAATACGTATACTTATACCATTTCCTTTTTATCGATAACAATCGATCTTTTAATTATATTTTTCAAGTGAAATTGGAGAAAATAAAAAGCAATAGATTTAACTTAATAGATGTCTGTGATTAATAGATAGATTAAGATTATTTCAGATTTTAGATACCTCCACTCTTTGCCCTCAAAATTGGAAAAAGAAGAGAAATTTCTACTTTAACTTGTCACACACTTATATGCTTACCATTAGAAAAATTGCACAAGAAAATTATTCTACAGCTCAAGCAGAGCGCGTGTTTATGCATGTGTGTGTGTGTAGTGTGTGTAGTATGTGTGCATGTGTGCATGAATTTTTCGTGCGTGCATAAATGAAACGTAGAATTATTTTAACAGCTCAGCGCCGTGTTCAGGGTATCTCCTAGTCGGCCACTCCCGACTACAGTTCTCTTTACACTTTTTTGCTTTCTGTTCGGGTTTTGTGTTTCCTTTTGAAATCGAATGCCGCCTTTTTCGGGTGCTGCTGCTTGGTGTCTTTCAAGTTGGCTCTCCGGCCGTCTATCAATTGGTTTCTTGGGAAACAGAAATGAATAGCACAAAAGTCTTTTAAGTTTTTGCTCTTTCATTTCAGTTTTATTTAATTAATTGAGGTTCTGGAATAGTTAAAAGCAGAACTTGAGCGAGAAGAACTACATCAATTGTTAAGCGCGTGCTGTTGGCATTTTGATGTATATCAATAATCTTCGCGGTTCCTTCTATAGTTAAGATATAGCAAAAGTCTAGAAAGCTCCATTTGCAATTGGCACGTATTGGCGTCCTTTGACAGCGAGTCTAACCGATCTTAATACTTAAATTTTCATAATCTTCTTAAGAGACAAAGCAAACCAAAATGAGAAATATTGCCAGAAAGACGTTTAATCCACTTAATTCAATTATCGTGGCGCTTTTATGTATATCGATGCCGCAGAGACTGGTGAAGAGCGATGAGCAGAGGTGCCGCTCCTCGGGGCAGACGCAGGTCTCGTTCGGCAGTAAGTATGTTAGCTGCGATGAGAGCTTGCCCTTTGCGGGCGGAAAATAATAGCAGACAATAAAGAAGCCTTTGAACATAATGGCTGCGCCACAGCCAATAAACTCCAACCGTGGCATCATCACTTGGACAAGGAAACGCACATGATCGGGCTGTTCCCTCGAATCGTTTACTGCATGCCTAAAGTGGAAGGTGGAGAACAGGTCCATGACCCAATGCCTCACCGTACGGCCCTCCCATTCGTTGAGGATCGCGGCACGATGACGTCGCACATACAGCCAATTCTGGCCGACCTCGTAGCCGTCGGTGCCGATGATGCGGCATGTATCTTGGTACGGGCGACATAGATGCAAATACTGCTCGGCCATGTTCTGTAAGTGAATATTCCAATAGACCAGATTCATGTTGGACACCTTATAGCTTCTGGCCACCTTGTTGCGAAGTCCATTGTGCACATGGACCATCTTCAGCGTCGAGCGATGGGTGTTCCGTATGGGCAGGAAGCGTTTGCATTGCTTCGATATTTTCATCGGCTCGGGGGCGCAGAGGAAATTGAATTTCCCATCCAAGCAGGTGGCATTTGTCGGGCAAATTGTGTGCTTGCTGCCAAAATTAAAGTAATATGGATTTTTACTGTACTTTTCCGGTTCTTCATATTCAACGGGACCAATCTCAAAAAGTGTTTCACTAACATCACCACCAAAAATTCCAACTATATGGCCGAGCAGTAAATGTAAAATTAGAGTTTTCATATTGAATAACATTTGTATTTGAGTATTGGAGAAAAAGTTGTTTGAGTTTACAGTTTTTCTAATCGCTCTTCAAGTCTTTCGTAAGTGAAATTTGTTATACTCATTCGGAGCCACATCTAAAACCTTAAACCTTATTATAACTATTTGGGCATTGAAATATAAACCACGTGCTTTTTTAAGATAATTTTGCTTTTGCAAATTTATCAACACAATTGAGTTACGCAAAGAAGCTTTTGTTGACAGCATAATTTTACGTAATGGTCCAACTTATTGGCCAACAAGATCAACTGATAGTATTTGCTTTGGAATTCAATAAAGTCACTTAAAAAATTAATCAGCTGGAAATGAACATTATTCGAAAAATTTTTGGGGAAATTCACCTGCAAAGGGCTGCGAACAGTTTGTGAAAATTGGTGTTCATAATAATTTGGTGTCATAATAATTTTTAGCCAATTAAGTTGATTTCATTAATATTAAAAATATATTTATTTGCTTAATTGTATGCAAAACTTGTGGAACTCTAAAAAAAAACAATCAATATTTGTTTTTACTTACGCCAACATACAAATTTATAATATATAAATTTGCGTCCATTTGCGGCATGGCAAATGGTTAAAAACTATTTTCGAAACTCAACATTTTTGTATGTAATATGTTAGCTATTGAACTTTGATAACCATTGATGAAGAGTATGTATAAGAGGTTATATAGAAGAGGCTATAAAACATTTTATATGCATACTGAGAACGTGACTAATCCAGTAAAATCTATATCTTTTTTAGTTGTAGAGCAAACATTGAGATTATTTGTTGAGCTTTAAGGGAACGCATTACTAATGGACTTATAAATTCTATGATTCGCACTTCAAGCCTTGGTAAATTTAAAAAAAAAGGAAAAAACTCTTATACGAGGCGACTGCACCTCTTTGTGATTTATGATTGCTGCATAAATTATAATTAGCTTTTAATGTTATCTATATACAATGAAATTATCTACAATAATTTGATGAAATATTTTTAATTAAAAAATGGATCCGAGGTTAGCTAAAATCTGTAACCAGAATACCATTCAACTAGATGAAGTTTATAACCAAATCTTAACTCCGTTTGGTTCGTTCGTCTAGCAACACTTTTAATACAAATTCAATACACCAGAGTCAAAGTATTTGACTTTCCATATGTAGCTGAACTTTTCAAATAAACAGGTCAAGTTAGCTGCCCACCTGCCACTTATTGGCCAAGTCACAAACTTTGGCTATAAATTTAAAAAGTAAATGTTATGTGGCCAGCGTTGCCATGTGGTGGAAAATTCAATTCAATTTGGGGCTGCAATGCAATATGTTTATCAGTTTATTGATTTTGCTTATAGAAAACAAACATTTTTGCCCCTTTGGATTTGCTTGATTGCAACATGTGTCACAAGCACGCACACAGACACAGCGAATGGCACATGTATCCACAGCTAGACCCTTAAAGACTTATATCAAATGGCAGCAGATCAAATATCCTGTGGTTAAAATGCGATTCAGTGATAAATGCGGCACATGAATTGCGCAGAATGAGAGAGGGAGAGAGCAGAGAGCGGGAGAGAGCTCAAAGCAAATACTGGCGAGACCTCGTCTAAGGCCGAAACCGTGCACCCTGGCAGGCAGGGCAATGGGGCAAGGTTAGCAATGGGGTCATTTGTGTCCGTCACGCGCCCCACGCATAATCCATGCCCTGCCATCAATATGATGTGAACACCTCCCCCACAGATCTGACCCTTATGGTGAACTGGCAGCGGGGCAAACTTCTTGCACGTTCTTGAATGCTTGGGTCGCTGCCATTAGTTTTGCCAGTTTTTGGTCCAGCAGCGCAGTGTTTGCGGTCGAAATTAAATTGCAATTTCCAACTTGCTTTAGTCAGTTTCATTTTTATGGGATTTGCGTTGCGCCACGCTTTGTTGCAACTACTTGGATACGTGCAAAGTGCAGCCAAAGTTTTGCCCAGCCACCATTAAATGGATAAATGGCTGAGTCTAGTCTAGGGCTTTCACCAGGGCAGCTGCTATCTATGGGTTAAGGTGTATAAGTAACTTCGGCTTCTCAGTTACCGTTTCGCTCAATGCATTTGATTTGCACTCGATGTGCCATCGTCTGCTGCCACTTCCCTCTGCGACTCATCAAACTATAAAGACAATTCATTCTGGTGCTAGTTTCTCACTGAGTTGAGGGTCTAATGATTATGTCAGCGAGGCGAAATAACTGAGTTATATATGAACTTTTGCTTGGATAATTTTTAATGTCTTTATTAATTTTTGATGTTGTATAGGTAATATTTAGGAATATTTATTTAAACTTTTCTATACATAAAGGTTCAGAATAATTGTTGATTGTTCTTGATGGCTTAAAATGTGAGGAAATGACTTAAAATTAGCTTTACCTTGAACTAGATCCAATCAAGGTTCCAAATTCAGCTTCCATGAAAGAAAAGGGTATTTAAATGTGCTCAAGCTTGAACTAGATTCAATCATAATTCCAAAACGAGTTATTGAGCTACAGCTATATATACTCTTTTAGACATTTTCTTTTTAAGTTCTAAAACTAGTTCCAAGTTCACTGTTTCTTTAAATTTTTTTTAAAAATGTTAAAATTGAGTTCAAAGTAAATTAATTTGTGATTGCTATCAAGGCGTTCAGAATATAAAAAGTAGCTACAACTCTGTTTGCAGAACTGGTTCTAAAAGTAGTTCCAAACTAACTCTTTTATATAGTTTCTTTTTCATATAAATTCTCATTTTTATTCATAATAAATGAGAGCTCAATTATCTAAACACATAAGCCAGCACGAATTCTGCGTATGGAACTAAGTCCAAAACTAGTTCACAGCTAATTCCTTTACACATTTTCATTAATGAAAAGTTCAGTTTATCTCGTAGTATATTAAGTTGTTATTATTATCTGAGTTTAGTTAACTAAACATTATAACAGGCAACATTTCTGTTAACGGAACTAGTTCAGTCTGCACTAAGACTAGTTCCGCACTTATTATTTTACACATTTTAATCAAATTTGTTCATTACACTTATTCATCAGTTATTTTAGTTATTAAATGAGAGCTCAATTATTGAAATTATAAATTTTCTATAATTCTGTTCAAAGAACTAGTTCCAAAATTAGTTCCAAGCAAACTTTCACATGAAAAGAGCACTCAACATGATGATAGAAGTTCCATTGCCATAACTATTTTCTAGATTAAAATTATTCCTCTCAAGTAAGTGTATTTATACTTCAGCTTTGAATACCTTTCCAATACAGTTAACCGCATTTTCCTGTTTTCGTTTGTTCGCATCTCGAATTTAGTTCTTTTTTTGTGCCTTTGTGATATTTTGTAACTCAACTAAGGTTCATTCATTTAGCAATGTCAACAGTTGGCTGACCAGAGGCGCCTTTGTTCGCGCTGAATGTGCGAATGAATGAATGAATGAATGAATGGATGGCCCGAGGAGGCCAAAGGCAGAGGGCATAGAATGGTAAGGCTCTTGCGACTTGGCTCTCACGTAGCCGCAGTTAGTTTGGGTCGTGTCAAGTGTCGTTGTCACTGGCGCGGAAATCCAAAACCGGGTAACGTGACTGGCTGACTGACTGACTGACTGACTGACTGACTGCCTGTCTGACAGACGATGACTGACTGGCTAAGACTGAACGCTTTTGAATGGTCGTGCGAAATCTGTGCGCTACCAACTACCAACAATAGGAAAGGCAACTTGACCAACTTGAGCTGCGCGTCGCTTCGAGCCGGCGAAATGTGGCAAGAAAAATGATATGATGCCAGCCATACTGTCCATTGCAAATGAATTTGATAAATGAACCGAAAGTTTTGTAGGGCCTGCAGTTGCCAGAGATAAAAGGAAAAGAATAGTTAGAGAGAGAGAGAGAGAAAGGAAGAGGTAGAGTGAGAGAGAAAGCTGTCAGCTCGCTTTGGTTGCATTCATAATGCAATCATTAAGCAACTTTTTGCCGTCAAACGAATGCAATTTGCACAACTTGACGCTTGTTTATTTGTTTGGCTGAAATTGTAAAGTCAAGAGCTCATTATAAGCTTACAAAGGGTATTTAAGGCGTGAGTGAAGCTTGGCATTTTGTAATAGGGTATTTGGAACATTAGAAACTCTAAAGATAATCTCGTAAAATAAACTTGATTTAGGCTAAAGCAAACTATTCAATTTTATGTTAGTCTTATAAAGTGATTATTATATTTATATATAGAAATCTCTAATAGGATCTTTGTTCAATAATAATTTGAATATTTAAGGAAATTAAATTCCATTTCAATTGAGTTTAGTTCACACAACTTTCTTTGCATACAGGGTGTTTCAGCTGCGCCAAAGTTGTAATTTTGTTTTTTTTTTTCATTCTATTTAACTTGAACTTAAGCTAAAGTAGATGAAGAAGCCAAAGCAGCAACAGCAAGAACAGCAGCCAGCAATCAACACTCGAGCAGCACCCACAAAGCTGCTGCAATTAATTTCACTTTCAATTTAGCGGCGGCGGCTGCTTTTCATTATTTTTTTACTCTGGGTGTAAAGTGTGTGTGTCGTGGGTGTGTGCAACCATAGCTGTAGGCGTTTGTCTTGCTCTCTCTCTCTCTCTCCCTCTCTCTCTGTCTTTCATTTGCACTGCATTTGACGGCCAATGTGTTGTAAAAAGTCGCTTCAAGTCATCGCAGCCGGCATGGAAATTAATTTTAATTGCTACAATTTAGATAATCAAATGAGTTCTGATGTTAAGTAAATTAAACAAAACTGCCACGCCCACATTTAACATCGCCCTGCTAAAAGTTAACAATTAACACTTGCTCCGAATGCTCATTAGGGCAGAAATGTGAACACTTTAGAGCTTGAGCATTGAGTTTTACATGAATAATTCGAAGACCCTTTTGAAAATTCACTTTTGGGTTCTGTTTTAGTTGAATTGAAAATTAAATTGAAATTTTATGGATCGTCACATGAAGAAAAAATAAATTAAAGCGAAACATAGCAGATTATAAAGGAAAAACTTTTT